GCTCTTCCCAAAAGAGCCCAAATGTGGCCCCTGAAAATGGTTCACTATTCACTTGACCCAGAAAACCCCACAAAATCATGCAAATCAAGAGGTTCAAATCTTCGTGTTCACTTTAAGAACACTCGTGAAACTGCCCAGGCCATCAAGGGTATGCATGTCTAAAAAGTCACCAAGTATCTGAGGATGTCACTTTACAGGAGCAACAGGTGTCATTCCATCATTACAATACCTACCTGGGCTGCTAGGTATGCCCAGGCCAAACAGTGGGGCTGGACACAGAGTCGGTGGCCCAAAAAGAGTGCTGATTTTTGCTACACACGCTTAAAATGCAGAGAGCTTAACTTAAGGGTTTAGCTGTAGACTCTCTGGTCACTGAGCACATCCAAGTGAACAAAGTCCCCAAGATGTGGCATAGAATTTGCAAGCGCTCATGGCGGATTACCCCCCACATGAGATCTCCATGCCACCTGGAGGTGACAGTACAGAAAAGGACCAGATGGTTCCTAAACCAGAAGAAGAGGTTGCACAGAAGAAAAACGTTCCCAGAAGAAAGTGAGGAAACAAAAACGTAAGACCCGGGAGTAAATTTAGCATAAAATAAGTACCAATGAAAGTTTTGGTGGTGTTTTTTTTTAAAGAATGTGTGGTCCTAGCTGCTTTGGCTCAGTGGCTAGAGTGTCAGCCTGTGGACTGAAGGGTCCTCAGTTCAGTTCCAATCAAGGGCATGCACCTAAGTTGTAGGCTCAGTCTCTGGCCCTGGTTAGGGCTTGTGTGGGAGGCAACCAATCAATGTGTCTCTCTCACTTCGATGTTCCTTTCTGTCTCTCCCCCTCCCTTCCACTCTCTAAAAATCAATGGAAAAATATCCTTGGGTGAGGATTAACAAAAAAAAGAAAGAATAATGTGGGGTGGGACACAGACATTTAGTCTTGCGTAGGGATTTGAGTTGGGGAGAGAATTGTAGAGAAAAAGTAAGACATTATAGGTCAGATGTGATTTTTTATTCTGTATTTCTCCACCACCAGATTCTGAAGATCTAGACCAACAGGCTACCCAGTGCTTTGTGGAGAGAGAGAACCAGAGCCCGGAAGGTGAGGGCATTTGTGTCATGGGGATGCTGTACACAGCAGGAGCAGGGAGATTACACTGGTGGTCCTTGAAGGGTGTGAGGCTGGCCTAGGCAGGGCAGGAGACTGAGAATGGCCTGGAGTTCTGTGCTGAGGCCACCTTTTCCTGTGCAGCAGTCCCGAGCATGGAGGATGAGCCCACCCAGGCCTTCCTGTTTACTCCACCCCAAGAGTCTGGCCCTTCCCATTGCAGCTTCCAGGCCTCAGGTATAAGAAACTCCCCTCCTCTGTGCCCCTAACTTTGCCTCCTGTTTTCTCTCTATACATGTTTCTTTCATATTACTTTATTTTTTTGCTGATGTTTCTCCATCTTACTAAGGGAAGAAAGTCATATTTAGTTAGACCCATAGAGCAACTTGTCTACCATAACTTTTACACTTGATCTTAGCCCAAAGACCAAGAAGCGTTCTGTAGCATAGTTTTTAAGAGGCTGCTGTGAGAGCTTTTATATGAAGTATGGTCTTACTTTTTGAAACAAGCATTAAAAGTTACAACTATCCTCCTTACTCGTAGCTTTTTATAAATAGCCCATATAGATTTATTGTTGATGAATTTACCTTAATTCTTTCTCAACCTGTTACCTTCTCTCTCTCTTTCTCCCTCCCTCTCTCTCTCTCTCTCTCTCTCTCTAACTCTCTACTTCCAGGTGCCCTGGATGAGCCTTGGGAAGTCTTGGCTACACAGCCATTCTGTCTAAGAGAATCTGAGGCCTCTGAGACCCAGCCCATTGCTACCCACCTGGAGGCCCATGGATCTTGCCCCTTGTCACCCAGACTAACACCTCAAGACCAACATCTGGAAAACCCATTTCACGCAGAGCCATTGGGGATTCAAGGCGGAGGGTTGCAGACTTCGGAGAAAGGCATGGGTACAACAAGAGAAGCAGCAGAGAGGGTGACCCCAAAGAGAGAACCATTAGAGAGGGAAACTAAAAAACTGCCACCTGCAGGGTCAAGAGAAGATGTGATGGGAGAGGAAGAATTAACCAGGGTGATGAAGGACAGGGAACAAAAGCAGGTGTTAGCTAGAGACACTCGGAGACAAGAGTCCAATAAAACTGGAAAGTGCAAGTATGGAAAGGGATATAGAGAGTTTGAAGGTAGAAATTGAGACACCCAAGGAACTACAAGAGGTGGTAAAGCAGTCTTTTGCAAGAGAAGTATTTAAGAAGGAAGCAGGGAAACTAGCACCAGAGAAAGATTGTGAGCCAGGTAGGTTAGAAGTCAACATATCCAAAGTAATACTGGAAGGAGGCGCACAGACAGGGGGGACAGAGAGGGAGCCAGGACCAGAAAGGGCAGCCCTCCAGTCCAACACTGGACCCTGAAGGAGGGGCAGGGGACCTTGTGGACTATCATTAGCCCTGATAGCGTCTAGGAGCCAGTCAGGTGGAGGAAGGTAAGTCCCAGGAGGCAGCAGAGAGGTGAGTGAAGGCAGAGGGGAAGACCCACCCAGGTGTTAACAAAGCCTTATGATAACCCCTAAGTAACTGCCTGCTTGGACCTCAGCCACACTTGTCTTTACTTTCTGTCTAGGACCCCTGAATTGCAAGATGTCCCCGGCTGAGAAGGCTTCTAGGGTGAGAGCTGCTTTCTCTACCTCCCCTCCACTGCCCCTTACCAGACCTTGCTTTCACCTGCTCTGCCCCATCTTCTCCACTCTCGTCATTTCCACCACTCTCAGTTGGCTTCTGGCCCTTTACATTGGCACCTGTTGTTTTCCATCTGTCTGTTCCCAGCTCTGTTTCCCTCTCCCTGACTCAGAAAGAACATCCCTTTCTTCATGTCCCTTCCCTCTTTTCCCAACCACCCATCGTCCATATATTGACAGCACTATCCTGGCCTTACGGGGAGAGGTCAGTGGGAAGAAGTCCCAGTCTAATGGAAGATGGTCAGAGACAGAAAGAGAAGTGCCAGTGAGCGTACTTCCACTGTAACAAGTATTGAGAACGGTGTCCAGTCCCCTCTCCCTCTCTCACGTGCTTCTATTTCTCCCCAGGGTGATCCAGGATCCCTAGATGTTTGTCTGCCTCCAGCAGTCCCTGAAGCCTCAGCCCCAGTCCAAAACTCCCTCATCCCTCAGAGTCAAAAACATCTTGCTTCTCAGCCTCTCTTTGCTCCATCTCCACCTTTAGAGTCGCCCATTCCCAGCTCCAGGCAAAATGGGAGTCAGGAAGCTCTGGAGAATCCCTTGTCCTCAGAGCTGGACCCTCTTCATGCAAAATCCAAATGCAGGCCCCAGGGGTGCTCCAGGATGACACCCTCTCCAGCTTCTATAGCCCCTGAGCTCCACCCTGCCACCTCCAGAGAGCAGCCTGTCCCCCCCGAGCCCGCATCTCGGGCCTCGCGGGGCAGGACACACAGGGCCTCTGTCAAGACCCCTGAACCGACTGTCCCCACAGACCAGCCTGTCCCCCCTGAGCCCACATCTCGGACCACACGGGGCAGGACACATAGGGCCTCTGTCAAGACCCCTGAACCGACTGTCCCCACAGCCCCTGACCTTGAACCTCTGACCTCTACAGACCAGCCTGTCACCCCTGAGCCCACATCTCGGGGCAGGACACATAGGGCCTCTGTCAGGACCCCTGAACCGACTGTCCCCACAGACCAGCCTGTCCCCCCTGAGCCCACATCTCGGGCCACACGGGGCAGGACACATAGGGCCTCTGTCAAGACCCCTGAACCGACTGTCCCCACAGCCCCTGACCTTGAACCTCCGACCCCTACAGACCAGCCTGTCACCCCCAAGGCCATAGCTCAGGGTGGTCGGAGCAGGACACTGAGGTCTACAAGAAGTGCTGTGCCAGTTCCTACCACCCCTGAATCCCAGTCTCCTTTCCCCACAGACCAGCCTATTCCCCCTGAGCCCATCCCTCAAGCCAATTGTAGCAGGAGGCCAAGGGTCGCTAGGCAGCCCCTCGCAGCTCCCATTGTCTATGAACCCTGCTCTGCACCCCTTGAACCTAACGCCTGGTCCTCAAGGAGCCAAAGGCGAGGAGCAGTGAGAGCAACCAAGTCCCTTAGGACCATTCCTGAGCCTGCCTTTGCCCAGCTTCCTGGGGCTCCCACTCATGCTCTCCAGATCCAAAAGGTAGAGGCAACAGGTGGATATGAGTTCAGCCCAGGGTCCCCGCCTAAGGCCTTTCAAAACCACAAGAAGCCTTCAGATACTGTGCATTCACCCCCACTTCCAAAACGGCTGCGAAGAGAAGTCCCTCAGAAGACAGTGGTCCTCAAGGAAGAAGAGGAAGAGAAGCCAGGGAAGGAAGAGGTGAGGAGAAGGCTGGGGCTGCGAGCTGGGAAGGGGCTGGGGGCTCAGAAGTTCCCACCAGGATCCTTCTCAATTCCAGGATGTGGTGATGCCAGGACCAGGCAAGAGAGAGAGAGACCAGGCTGAGGAAGAGCCCAAAGGAATGCCAGTCCGCAGCCTCCGACGGACTAAACCTAGCCATGAGTCCGCAGCCCCCAAAGTAGGAGAGAAGGGTCCTGGGGCTTCATGGGAGCAGATGTGGGGATGGGCGGGGACTGGGGCCTTGGGAGATAGGCACTGGTGCAAGGCTTGCTGTGACCAACGTAGGCCCATCCCCTCCACAGGTGCTCTTCACAGGAGTGGTGGATGCCCGTGGAGAGCAGGCAGTGCTGGCCCTGGGGGGAAGCCTGGCCAGCTCAGTGGCAGAGGCGTCCCACCTGGTGACTGATCGAATCTGCCGGACAGTCAAGTTCCTGTGTGCCCTAGGGCGGGGGATCCCTATCCTCTCCCTGGACTGGCTGTACCAGGTGAGAGGCCAGGAGATGGTGGCAGACCAATAGAGAAAGTGGCGGGAGGAAGAGGGGTGCAGGAAGACCAGGGTGAATGAGCGGAAGCCTTCATTCAAAAACACTTTGTGAGCCCCCTGTAAATGCTAGGCTTTGATACTGACTGCTGCCACCCTTAGTCCCGCAAGGCCGGTTGCTTCTTGCCCCCGGATGACTATGTGGTGACTGATCCTGAGCAGGAAAAGAACTTTGGCTTCAGCCTCCGTGACTCCCTGAGCCGGGCTCGTGAGCGAAGGCTGCTAGAGGTGAGGGACTGTCTTCCTCCGCATGCTCTAGCCCTCCCTCCAGAAGTTTCCCAGCAGCGCATGGCTTCAGTGCAGCTCTCCACTGGCTCCACCATTTCCTTCCTCCTAGGGCTATGAGATTCATGTGACCCCTGGAGTCCAGCCACCCCCACCTCAGATGGGAGAGATCATCAGCTGCTGTGGAGGCACTGTCCTACCCAGCATGCCCCGCTCCTACAAGGTATAGGGGAGTGTGTTCTTTATCTGGGGAGTTCAGGTGGGAACACTGTAGTGAGAGGGCTGGGGGAAGACCTATGGTACAGAAAGGGATAGGAGCCCAGCCAGTGTGGCCCAGTGGTTGAGCATCGACCTATAAACCAGGAGGTCAGGGTTCAATTCCCAGTCAGGGCATATTCCCAGGTTGCAGGCTCAATCCCCAGTGTGGGGCATGCAGGAGGCAGCCAGTCAGTGATTCTCATCATTGATGTTTCTATCTCTTTTTCCCTCTCCCTTCAATAATATTTTTTTTTTAAAAGGGAGAGGGAGCCCTAACCGGTTTGGCTCAGTGAATAGACGTTGGCCTGCGGACTGAAAGGCCCCAGGTTCGATTCCGGTCAAGGGCATGTACCTTGGTTGCGGGCACATCCCCAGTAGGAGGTGTGCAGGAGGCAGCTGATCGATGTTTCTAACTCTCTATCCCTCTCCCTTCCTCTCTGTAACAGATCAATAAAATATATTTTTTAAAAAAAAGGGAGAGGGAGATAGGAATGGCAGAGGAGTTCTGCTGATACCTGCTGGATTTTGTTTTAATTTGCATTTTATTTTTTTAAATATGTTTTTGTTGATTTTTTTCTTTTTTAATTTTGTATAATTTCCTGGATTAGTGTAATAGCTTATTTTTTTAGAGCGAATCATCGATTGGCTGCCTCCTGCACACCCCACATTGGGGATTGAGCCAGCAACCCGGGCATGTGCCCTGACCGAGAATTGAATAGGTCAATGATCAATCACTGAGCCACATCGATCCGGCCTTTTTTTTATTCCTCACCGGAGGATATTTGGATATTTTTTCCATTGAGTGGAAGGAAGGAAGGAAGGAAGGGCGGGTGGTGGGGGGGTGGAGAGAGAGAGAGAGAAACATTGATGACACATCAATTGGTTGCCTCCCGAATGAACCCCAACCAGGACCAGGGATTGAACCACAACCAATGTATGTACCCTTGACTGGGAATCAAACCCGAGACCCTTTGGTCCTTGGGCCAACGCTCAACCAAACTGGCCAGGGCCCACCCCACCTTTTTATGCCATTGACTTTCTGCAGAAACTAGGTCAGTTGTCCTTTAGAATGTTCCTCAGGCTGGATTCTTCTGTTTGCTCCCTGGTTGTACCACTTACCTTATTCTCTATCTTCTATTATTTCATGTAAACGATAATCAGTTTTAAAAGCTTGAATAAATTCAGGTTCCACATTTCTGGCAAGAGCACGTCACAGACAACGTAGTGTACTTTATGTGGCATCGTATCCAGAGCTCCTGTCTTAGTGATGCCTGGACTGATGAGTGGGTCCTAAACCTACTTCTAGGGTTCTTTTCCCCTGACTTTCTGCCTCTACTGTGTGTCCTCCCAGCCTCAGAGAGTTGTGATCACGTGCTCCCAGGACGCCCCTCGATGCACCACGCCTTTTCGGGTTGGGCTGCCCATCCTCTCCCCGGAGTTCCTGCTGACAGGAGTGCTGAAGCAGGAAGCCAAGCCAGAGGCCTTTGTTCTCTCCACTTTGGAAATGGCATCCCCCTGAAAACCCCTCCCCAGTACCCTTTTTCTTCCCAGATCAATAAACAGAAAACATTGGGGAGAAGAACTTAGGGCTTTAGGAAGGATTGGGGTGTACTGATCTGATTTGTCTTGAAAAGGCTTATAGGAAAACAAAGATAGGGAGGTTGGGAGCCACAGATACCTTAAGTGTGCTCATCTTTAGGTGGACTGAGGTACCTACTGCTCAGTGCCCTGCCTCCCATTCGGAAGCCATCTCACTTTTCTTTGTTATTGGAATTCTTACTTATCCTCCAAAACATAGTAGAAACAATTTCAATGCCAGAAACTTGAAGGGATGCTTGGAGTGAGTAAGTTTGAGGGTGGTTATGGAATGCTACGAAAAGATTTACCTCTCTCCTGGCCCCATCTTGTTAGAAGATCCTTTAGCTTGGACTTTGAGCAAGTCTCTGCACTTTTTCAGGCCTGCTTTTCCAGTATGTATCAAATTAGAGCTTAGGCTTAAACTTTATGATAAATAAATATTCACTCTGTGCCTTATGGTGTAGTGCAGTTTTTGTTTTTGTTTTTTATCCTCACCCAAGGATATGTTTTTCTATTGGTTTGAGAGAGAGAGTGAAAACATCCATGTGAGAAAGAAACATTGATCAGTACGTCCCAACCGCGGGGCGGGGGAGGGGGTTGAACCCACAACCTTTTGGTGTACAGGATGACACTCCAACCAACTCTGCCATCTGGCCAGGGCAGTGTAGTTGTTATTTTTTAATATGCCATTCCTTAAATTTAAGTTTAAAAGGTTGATTACAAGGATATGGAGAAATTGGAACCCTTATACATTGCTGGCAGGAAAATAGAATGGTTCAGCCGTTGTGGTAAACAGTTTGATGGTTTCTCAAAAAGTTAAATATATAGTTGCCAAATGACCCAGCAATTCCACTTGTAGGTATATATCTGAATTAAAATAGATGTTCACAAATACTTGTACACAAATGTTCATATAAACTCTTTTCAATAGAGCCAAAAGTTAAAAACAAATGTTCCAAATTGTGGCATACCCATACAATGGATTATTACTCAGCCACGAAAAGAATTGAAATACTGATTTATACCACAGTGCTTTGAGGATGAACCTTCAAAGCATGTTACGTGAAAGAAGCCAGACACAAAAGGTCACATGGTCTGATTTCACTTACAAAATACCCAGAATAGATAAATCCGTGGAGATAAGGAGTAGATTGGTGGTGCTGGGCCAGCATGGCTCAGTGGTTGAGCATCGACCTATGAACCAGGAGGTCCCAGTTCAATTCCCGGTGAGGGCACATGCCCAGATTGCAGGTTCAATCCCCGTTGTGGGGTGTACAGGAGGCAGCTGATCAATGATTCTCTTCATTGATGTTTCTATCTCTCCCTCTCCCTTCCTCTCTGAAATCAATAAAAATATGTGTGTTTTTTAAAGTAGATTGGTGGTTGCAGGGGCTGGAGGGAAGGGAGATGGAGAGTGATTGCTCGCGGGCACAGGTTTATGTGGTAAGCAGGTAAGCATGCTTTGGAATTAGACAATTGGTGGTTGCACGTTGTGAATGTACTAAATGCCACTGGGTTGTTCTCTTTAAAATGGTTAATTTTAGGTGCATTTCACTTGAATAAAAAAATTTTTGTTGATTAGTTTTGTGCATTTTTCTGCAGGTAAGTTATACCTAAGTTTGGAAAACTTTGGTATAGTAGAAATAGCATAAGCTTTGCTGAACACTGCTGGCTTTTAAGTATACCTAATCTCTTAATGTAATATATTAAGCACGGCTGTATTAGGTGTGGCACATGTAAGATCCAAATAAATATTAGTCCCATTGCACAACTCAAAGCCTCACTGTGTGAAATTCTGTTCTCAAGGTTCAGGGGATTCCTCTCTATAGCCCCATTTAGCATTCCCACTTCATTAAGTGCCTCCATTTAAAATTGTAGAGAATCTTAAACGTCAGTGAATCCTAAGCTTGTAGCACATTGTGTAATGTGTCTCTATCAGTCAGGGTCCTGGCGGGAAACCATAGCACAGTCAAATAGGGATAATTTGGGGAGCGTTGAACAAAGTGAAAATTACAAAGAATTAGGCGGAGATGAGAGAAATGACAAAGAATAAAGCAGCGCCCCAGTGCCCACAGGTCTGTGATGACCCCTCTAAGCCCAAAGGAAGAAAGGAGGGAGCAGTTCTAGGGAGAGCGCTCCCTCGGTAAACACGGAGGTGCATTGATGTCGTCCATTCAGGGCACTTCCTGAAGCAGAAAGGGCGGAGAGTGAGTGTGGAAGGAAAACAAGATGTCTGGTACGGTACACCTCAGTTCTCCAACTTACTTTGTTTTGGAAGGTTGTTCGAGAAGCAATTTGTTTGAAAACCAAATCATTTTGCCGGAACCGGTTTGGCTCAGTGGATAGAGCGTCGGCCTGCAGACTGAAAGGTCCCAGGTTCGATTCCGGTCGAGGGCATGTACCTGGGTTGCGGGCACATCCCCAGTAGGAGATGTGCAGGAGGCAGCTGATCGATGTTTCTCTCTCATCGATGTTTCTAACTCTCTATCTCTCTCCCTTCCTCTCTGTAAAAAATCAATAAAATATATTAAAAAAAAAAAAAAGAAAACCAAATCATTTTTTCCCATTAGAGATAATGTAAATTGAATTAATCTGTTCCAGACCCCCAAATGATTCCCTGTTATAACCTTTCTTATATACAGTACCTGTCTAACATAGTGTTTAATCTATAAATAAACACTTTAAAAACAAAAAGGACCCTATCCATTTTGGCTCAAGGGATGAAGTGTCAGCCTGTGGACTGAAGGGTCCCGGTTTCGATTCCGGTCAAGGGCACATGCCCTGGTTGTGGGCTCAATCCCCAGTAGGGAGGCATGCAGGAGGCAGCCAATCAATGATTCTCTCTTTTGATGTTTCACTCTCCCTCCCTCTGAAATCAATAAAAATATATTTTAAAAAATAAAAAGAAGCCTGGCAGGGATGGCTCAGTGGTTGTGCATCAACCTATGAACCAGGAGGTCACAGTTCAATTCTTGGTCAAGGTACATGACCGGGTTGTGGGCTTGATCCCAAGTGTGGGGCATGCAGGAGGCAGCCGATCAGTGATTCTGTCTCATCATTGATGTTTCTATTTCTCCCTCTCCCTCTGAAATCAATAAAGATATGTTTAAATATATATTAAAAAAGGAAAGGAAGTGTAGAGTAAAAAATGAAAATTTAGGTACACACTAGAACTTACCTTGAATGCTGAGAGCTACTATGACTGAATATGGAGGAGGGTGTTGTTGTTGGAAGAGGAGTTCCCTTCCATAAACACGTCAGGGAGCTATTCTTCTGGGGTTCTTTCTCTTTCGTCTCTGCTCCACTAAAACTTGCTTCAGGCTCACTGGGCCTCTGTCTCACTAAAAACCTACCCAATGATTGTTTTTGCCTGCGTTTTAACATTTGCCTGAAGTGAAACACTGCATTGTCATTGAACAAGTTTATTGCTCGGTGTGCTACTTCTTTGTCAGGGTAATATTTCTCAATGAAACTTTGCATTTCTCCCCATTTCCCAAGCATTCCCTTGATAAGTGAAGTAGGAATATCCTCCCTTCCCTCCTCTGAAGAGTGCTCCTCAGCTGCTGGCTGTTGCTGCTCCTTCTGAAGGTCTTGGAGCTCCTCAGTGGTCAGCTCAGTGTTGTGGTCCTCCACCAACTCCTCCACATCATCATCATCCACCTCCAAGCCCATGGACTTGCCCAGAGACACAATGTCCTCCACAACAGACACAGGCTTGTCCTCACAGCCCTCACAGGCTCTGTCGGCAACAGACTCGGGCCACAGTTTCTTCCAGGCCGACTGCAGGGTCCTGGAACACACTCCCCCCCACGCTTCATCTATGAGCCTCAAGCAAGTGAGGATATTAAAATGTTCCTTCCAGAACTCCCGGAGGTTAAATTAGTTTCAGAGGTCACCTCAAAACACCTCTGGAACAGTGCTTTGGTGTAGAGTTTCTTAAAGTTAGAAATGACCTGCTGGTCCATGGGCTGGATGAGCGGAGTTATGTTAGGTGGCAAGAACCTCACAGTGATGAAGCTGTGCTCCTCCATCAGCTCGGCCTCCAAGCCTGGAGGGTGGGCAGGAGCCTTGTCCATGACAAGAAGTGCCCTGAGTGGCAACTGTTTTTCCCAGAGGTATTTCTTCACACTTGGGGCAAACACTTCATGAATCCACTCAATAAAAAATCGCCTGGTTACCCACGCTTTGCTGTTAGCCCTCCACATCACATTCCACTTGTTTGGATTTCTGTGCCTTTTTTTTTTTTTTTTTTTTGAGAATTAAGTTGTGTTATTCCTTTGTAAGAAATTTACCAAGAATAGTTTGAACAGTGTCTGCTACCTTCTCATATAACGCACAGCAGGGAGTGAGCCATCTCTATGCCTTGGCAGATTCCATACTCCTAAGTTTCCATCCGTTTCCTACATTTTATCCTTTCACTTTCACTGTCATGAAAGACCTCCAAGAATTCCTTTAATGTGAAATGTTTTCCTGGCATCATTTTCCCTGGGACATCTTCAGCGTTTCATCATGGCCACATCCTCATTTATGTCTATAATTTCATCTTACAAACCTCTCGCTGCAGATCTAGAATCTCTTGAATGACAGCAGTATCAATATTCCACAGTCAGCCATTTCGCCTACAACTCCATTGACATTCTATTCATTTATTTTTATACCTCTCTTAAATTTTTATTGTTGAAAGTATTACATATATCTCCCTTTTTCCCCCATTGACCCCGTCCCACCCCAGGCCTTCAGCACTCTATTGTCTGTGCCCATGGGTTATGCATATATGCATACAAGGTCTTTGGTTGATTACCTTCCACCCACCCACCCACCCTCTCCCACCCTCGCTCTGAGATTCCACACTCTGTTCCATGTTCCCATGTCTCTAGATCCACTCTGTTCATCAGTTTATGTTGTTCATTAGATTCCACATATGAGTGAGATCATGTGGTACTTGTCTTTCTCTGACTGACTTATTTCACTTAGCGTGATACTCTCCAGGTCCCTCCATGTTGTCTCAAAGGGTAAGAGATCCTTCTCTTTTACTGCTGCATAGTATTCCATGGTGTAGATGTACCACAGCTTTTGTATCCACTCACCTACTGATGGGTACGTGGGCTGTTTCCAGAATTAGCTATTGTAAATTGTGCTGCTATGAACATAGGGGTGCATACATTCTTTCTGATTGCTGTTTCAGGTTTTTTAGGCTATATTCCTAGAAGTGGGGTCACTGGGTCAGATGGCAGTTCCATATTTAATTTTTTGAGGAAACTCCATACTGTTTTCCATAATGGCTGCACCAGTCTGCATTCCCACCAGCAGTGCAGGAGGGTTAACTTTCTCCACATCCTCGCCAGCACTTGTCATTTGTTGATTTGTTGATGATAGCCATTCTGACAGGTGTGAGGTGGTACCTCAGTGTCATTTTAATTTGCATCTCTGATGATCAGTGACTGAGCATTTTTTCA